TGCAGACGCGCCGGCGAAGCTGACACGAATCGACGAGCCGGTCACCCGGTACGTCGAATTCGCGTGCGGCTCTTCCTATGGCTGCGTTACGCTCGGATCGATCCAAATATGGGCTCAATCAGGCACCGGAATCGAGTCTGATAGGTCAATTTTGGTTGACTTTTTGCTCACCTCGAGTCGACTGGAACCGCCGGGACTCTTAGCTGTTTTTGGCGCGATCGCGTTACCGGCCGCGCAAAAATGATTGTTCGCCGGACTTTCGCTCCGGCGACGCGGCTTCTTTGATGTTCCGTTTAAAGAGCGGAGCCCGAGAGCCACCAGAACGTTTCTTTGATATGTTCATTGACACGATAATTGGCGAGGACGCGCGTCCGCTTAGGTCCGCGCGAAAAGGATCTTTGAACTTGGAAATTCGTCTCGCGGCCATTCGAGACGCGCCCGTCTCGGGATTAGTTCCGCGCGGGCACGAGAGGATTCTTCGGGCGGCCGGTTCGAATAATTTAAAAGATAAATCGGCCAGTGTCCCCGTTTACCGCAGCTGGCCGGCGCGCCTCGCGGGGACACACCGGTATTACCGACGACACGCAAAAATGTCACCGGTACATCAAATTACCTCTACCTCTCGCTTTCACGTCCTCGCCATTCGAAGCCCGCGGTGGTCGCGGTGATTTATTACAAACAAAAAGACTCGGCCGGCTGGGCGCATCCCATTTACGTAATCCGGTAACAGAGCAGCGTAAAACCCGCTCCAGTTTTACTTGCTCCTCTCTGTCACGCGGCCGGATTTAACCGAGCCGCGAGTCCGGCGAGACGGAGAGAAAAGCTGGGGCAGAGAGAACGAGGGAGAGAGAGAGAGAGAGAGAGAAAGAGAGGAGAGAGCGAGCGCGGCTGGATATCTCGAACTGGATGGTAAAAGCTTCGGGGTGGTCCGTTTGCGCTCGTCACCGCGGCTGTCGATGACAACCGGTCATTGGCCGGGAAATAATTAAGGCTGCAAGCCGAACGGAGGGAAAAAGAGAGCCATTCAAATTGCAAGGATCGACGGATGCGAGCGGGACGAGTGACGCTGAACGATGTATCGGAGCTTTCACGCGTTCTCTCCCTTGTTTTTGTGGTGGCCTGTAATATATTACGCAAGGAGGAAGGGATTTGAAAAGGTTAAAACATGGGGAGAGCGTTTCGTCATCTACGGTTTTCTTATGTTCCAGTCGCCCGTTTATATTCAGCAGTTATCTTCAGTATCAAATAATGTTTGCACTCTGTTAGAGTCAAATGTAAATATTTCAGATTTCCACTACTGTACATCGGGTAATATGTTAGTAAAAATATATGTAATATGTGTTCCGAAGTTGTTTCGATGTCCTCTACAATATGGTAAAAAAGATGTCCTATTTGTAAAACCTAAGGTGACCTCAATTTCGCTATGAAAACACTCTTTTCGAAATTGTTTTACTGATACCTATGGCATACTTCATACTCTGTAATTCTCAATTCTTGTTCGAAACTTTTTCATGTCAGATGGCTGCAAGTGGATGAAAAGTCAGAGTTAGAGGTAACAACCGGTACGTACAAATAGGTAAAATACTGTGTCAGTAGCACTCCACTGGCGGGATAGGAAAGGTGCCGCCACATTTCAATTAACTCGTTGCATCGTTTAATTATGGTAGACCTAGGAGAATCGAAATAAGAATCCTAGTTTGCCAAGGAAAGACTTGAAAATCCTTTTTCGGCGACATTGTAAGATAAGTTGACAACTCCGTCTTCAATGAATCATAACTTCAAAACGTACACGCGTTTTTTCTTAACGACGAAGCAAGATCTTCAATCTTCCATAGAAATACACTCGCGCCATTGTAAATCCTCCTGGAGCAGCTGGTTGCTCAAAGCAAAAGTGAATCAGAGTTGATGTGAGGTCATATTAAAAATTGCTCGGAGCGCAAAGGGTAAACGCCCGAGTATTTTTATTTGTTCGCTGTCAAATAGAAGGCGATCCCATTCGCGGCGATCTATTTTAAGAGGATCCGTCCGAGCTTACGATCGCAACGCGCGCCGCACGACGGAAATGTCTTCATCGAAGTCGTTTCGGCCGGCGGCTAATCGAACGCGGTCGCGAGGTGCGCGGAACGGCAGCGGACACGAGCGACGCCGCATGGAAAAATGACCGAGAGTAATACGGAATGCTGTCGGGTCTGGCAAGGATAAATCGCGTTGGAATTTAATTGGCCGCCGCGCGTGCCGAACGCGTTCATTCAATTTCGCAGACAAACGCAATAGGCGGCGCGCGTTTAGCTCCGCTCCCTAGGCCGAGCGAAGAACGAACACGCGAGTTTAACGATCCCCGCCTCGCTATAATATAACGGTATGCACCGGAATAATCCGCTCGGCTCGTTGAATGGATCGCAATGAGCGTTCGAGTAATTACGCGCGCACGGAAGAGTCGCGGCGGTTCGCGAAAGTAAACCCGGCGCGTCGTTCCGGTTTGGAAATGACAGGAGCCGGCGATAGCGTTAACTCACAATAACGCCGCGGCTGATTAAGAAATATTACGGTGTCCGAAAAAAAATGCTTGTCGGTATTAATTACCTACGCGGCACGGCGCGGACTTGACGTCCGACGTTAATAGCATGTCCAATTCGTCGTATAACTC